TGAGTTAGCCGTGCCCTGACTTAGATCAAATTTCAAGTGATGGTTCCTAGGGCAGTGACTATATACTTACTGTTTGTTATTGCTGTTCGTAGAATCGTACAAGTTCGTGGTTTACGTGTCCTTTGATTGAGTACAGTATTGTTATACAGATCGGACATCTTATGTGGGGTCGGTGTAACACTTTTCTTCTTTTGAGAAACATTTGGAGGCCAATATTGAATCTGAGGGACAAAATTATAGTTYTAAATATTGAAACAAAGCCTAGATAATAATAATATATATACACTCCTGAAAAGGTTCTCTTCGATATTACGAAGCTGCTCAGCAAACGATCTGTTCCCAAAAACTTGAGCACGATTTAAACGAAGTCTGGACGAACTTAACGGTCGTCATCGCTTTATGTGCGTCGAAAAAAAACGTATAAAAGTGGTTGAAAATCATGCAGAAAGATTGTGCGGTCTAGTGGTGCATACTACGCATGCGCAGGGAAGATAATGACGGTCATGAAATTGAGCGCATCACGTGGTCAATAAGTGTACTTGTTCATTACAAAGTATCATAAATATTGGCGGCAAAAGAGCTGATTTTGTATGGGTGGGAAACGATATTGGTAGCCCTTGTCCATGTAGCCGCAACCGTTAGATTACCGTAACTGTAACATGCTATACCATTATATACGTGGTCAGTACATAGTTAATGGAAGCGGAATGGTTGTTTTTGTTCGACTTTATCCATTGTTATATGACGTTGACGGTGCACAGAGAAGAAAAAGTTGCTCCGTTTGTTCATAGTATTAGGGGATATAGAAGTTTTTAACCCTAAAAAACGTTCTAAAATGCTTATTATTTGTTAATTAATCCTATATGGTTAATACAAATTGTTTATTGAAAAGGAAATTGCCTTTTTTCATGCTTTCTTATTTTTCATCTAGTAACTTAACTGTATCTGCGTGGAAATATTTATCCGCATAATTTGTGGTCATCGAATGAAAGTTTTCACTTTCAAAGTGTTCATACATGAAAATAATAAGGAAATGAGTATTTTCAGCCATAGTTGCTTTGGATTATTGTGCAGCGTCAGTAAAACGTGATAGTACGGTTCAACATCAAACGCAAAACAATAGCTTCGCTCTATGGAGTTTCCAAACCATTCCGCTCCATCAACTATGGTCAGTATCAGGAGTTTTCCTTTTCATACGAGAACCATTCTAATGCGTGCACTTACCGAATGCTGATAGAACGTTCTGATATTTGCTGGATACAAGATGTTGAATAGTGAAGTGTTAAAGTGATTTAACTCTGAAACTGAGCAGTTGAACTCTATTCCTAAAATTACATTAAAAGACAAAAAAAGAAAGGCTCATTAGTTGAAACAATCTGGTACCCAGAGCCTGCGTTTCTTCTGGCCTGCGTTGAAGAACGAAGGCTCTGGCATAATCCATTTTTTGAGACAAGGATTGCTTGGACTTCCGGTATAACAGCGCACGCGTTCAAAGACTTGCCAAAAATCAAAAATATTTTTTGCCCGATTTTTGAATTGTACTATGATTTTGACTTTTATTTTGGCTTTGATTTAGTTTTTACTTTGCTTATTTTGATCGTTTATATTTCACTTTCCAAAAATTGCGCATGCGCCAAAATATGGATTATGCCAGAGCCCTCGTTCTTCGCCGCAGGCCAGAAGAAAAGCAGGCCGCTGGGTATGAGTTTGTAGTTGAAGTAAACAAGAGATATTGCGCGCGCAACTTATAATTTGTGCGCAGTGCTAAAGCGATTTGCGCAGATTTTAATTTCGTTTTCTGCAAGCTTCTCTGATTCATATTAGATTTAATTTCAACTTTGCAGTGTAAATTTTGAAAACCTTTGAAAACTTTGAAGACACTTTGTAAATTGAGCATCGCGCGCACGAGTGTTTCAAGAGGTTCGTACGAAGATATTCCGACCAAGGGCGCCAGGACAGACGGATTGGGTTTTGAATATGTGTGATTGTTTCAGTTATTCGTAGATTTCTAATTGAATTGATATATGTTTGTTTCTAAATGGATACTAAATAGTGTTCACTTATCTTTCCATCCAACGGTCTTTCTGGTTCGAATCAGCCGTACGATATGAATATATTTACCACGTCCACCAACGGTCTTTCTGGTTTTAATCAGCTGTACGTTAGTCTCCCCCACAGCCGCTTTCAGTGTCGTCACGCAACGCTTTCTCCCCTGAGTAGAAAGCGTTGCGTGACGACACTGAAAGCGGCTGTGGGGGAGACTAGCTGTACGTACGCTCTGAGTATTTACCGCTGCACTATTCGTGCCAAGCAGCGCCGGCGCCGCTTCGTTAGCGATTACTCACCTTTAATAAGTTAATCAAATTTACCTTCAGTACAGTAAAATAGACCGGGGTCTATATATTCGTGGTAAATATATTCATATCGTACGGCTGATTCGAACCAGAACGACCGTTGGATGGAAAGATAAGTGAACACTATTTAGTATCCATTTAGAAACAAACATATATCAATTCAATTAGAAATCTACGAATAACTGAAACAATCACAC